CGGGCGCCCGGTGCCGCCGGCATGACGGGCCGCGTGTGCCGCGGGTGCGGCGGCACCGACATCGAGTTCGACGCGGCGCGCGGCGATGCCGTGTGCACTGGCTGCGGCTCGGTGCTCGAGGACAACATCATCGTGTCCGAGGTGCAGTTCGTAGAGAACAGCGGCGGAGGCTCCTCGGCTGTGGGCCAGTTCGTGTCTCTGGACGGTGCGTCCCGGGTCGGGCGGGCGGACGGTCGCCGGGACCCCGCGGAACCCGGAATCCGGCCCGCGCGCGCGATAGAAGCCCCGACACCCGCGGACGTGTGCAGGGTATTGTTCTCTGCGGGGCACCTGGCGCCACGAGGGGAGACGGGGGTGGCTGGAGGGGCAGCGGTGGGCCGGGCTGCCGGGTAGGGGCCCGGGGCAGAGCCGCAGGGGAGGGCCGAGGCCGGAGCACCGGAGGAGGGCACCAAACTAGCCAGTAACAACGCAGGAGAAGTTGTGCAAACAAGGGAAGCGCGCGCTGCTGTGAGGATGTGACAGTCACAGGAACCGGGAGGTGGGGGCCAGGTCGGGATGAGCCAACTGATAGGCGCCCAGGTAGTGCGATGGGCGAGTGGCTGGGAGAAAATTAGGCAAATGCCAGAAGCATCAGGAGTTGGAAGTGAGTGCTTCTGGGCCAGCGAAATTGAAGGGCGCTGGGGTGGGAGGGACTGCTGCTTTAGGTGATGAGCCTTATAGAATCGTAGACCCGTTGGGCTCTTTAAACCATGTGTATGTTTAACTTTGATTTTAAAAATCGAATTTACAGGAAGAGGAGAAAACTGTGGCCTGGGACACAGTGAGAATGGACCCATCTTTTTTTTTTTTTTTTTTAATTGATATACAGTAAAATCGACTTTATTTTCGTGTAGAGTTCTGTGAATTTTAACACATTTATAGATTCTGGTAACCACCACAGTGAGGATAAAGAAAAAGTCCCATCACCCCCAAGCCAACTCCTGCTGTCTCTTTATTGTCACTTGCTTCACCAACCCCTATCCCTGATCTATTCTCCATCCCTATAGGTTTGCCTTTAAGTGGGATCAGCATGTAACCTTGTGGGATTGGTCTCTTTCACTAAGCCTAATGTCTTTGAGATTCACCCAGGTTGTGTGTGTCAGCAGTTGATCCTTTTTTTATCTGAGTAGTAACATTCCCTGGTATGAGAATCCTGGGGTGATGCGAATGGTTAATGCACTCGGCTGCTAACTGAAAGGTTGGAGGTTCTAGTCCACCCAGAGGTGCCTCGGAAGAAAGGCCTGGTGATCTGCTTCTAAAAAATCAGCCACTGAAAACCCTATGGAGCACAGTTCTACTCTGACACACATGGGGTCGCCAGGAGTTGGAATCAACTCCACAGCAACTGTTTGTTTATTCCATGGTATGGATGGCCCACAGTTTGTTGAAGGACATTTTGGATTGTTGCCAGTTTGGGGTGATTATGAATAGAGCTCCTATAAACATGTACAGCTTTTTGTGTGAATATGAATTTTCATTTGTCTAGGGTAGCTACCCAGGAGTGCGATTGCTGGATATATGGTAGGTGTGTGTTTAGCTTTATAAGAAACCATCAGACTCTTTCCGAGTGGTTGTGGCGTTTTGCATTCTCACCAGTTGCACTACATTTTCAACAGCACTTGGTATTGTCAGTATGTATTTTAGCCATTCTAATGTGTAGAGGGGATCCCTGGTGGTGCAGTGTTTAAGAGCTATGGCTGCTAACGAGAAGGTCAGCAGTTCAAATCCACCAGCTGCTCCTTGGAAGCCCTATGGGGCAGTTCTTCTCTGTCCTACAGGGTCGCTATGAGTCGGAATCGACTCGACGGCAACGGGTTAATGTGTAGAGGAGGCTGGGTGGTGCAAGTGGTTTGCCATTGGTTGCTAACCGAAAGGTTGGTGGTTCTAACCCACCCAGCAGTGTCACGGAAAAAAAGGCCTGGTAATATGCTTCTGTAAAGATTAAAACCCTGTGGTGCAGTTCTGCTTTCTAACACACGGGGTGGTCATGAGTCGGGCCGACTGGGCAGCAGCTCACAACAGCAGTAGGTGTGTAGTGGTATCTCTTCATGACTTTCGTTTGCGTTTCCCTAGTGGGGAGTGATGTTGACCATCTTTTCATGCTTATTCCTCATCCCTTAATCCTTTTGGATGAGGCAGTGGTGTGGTTCACTGGTAGAATTCTTGCCTGCACGGAATTCAGTGGAGGATTGCGTGTTGCTGTGATGCTGAACAGGTTTCCAGAGTGTAGCTTCCAGACTAAGACGGACTGGGAAAAAAAGCCTGGCCATCTACTTTCAAAAACCCGCTACTGAAAATCCTATGGATCACAATGGTGTGATCCACAGCCAATTGTGGGGATGGCGTAGGACTGGGCAGCTTTTGTTCCCTTGATGGCGGGTGACAACGACCACCTCCACCATGTCTGTTCAAGTCTTTTGTCCATGTTTTAATTGAGTTTTTTTGTTTTCTTAAGGGTGAGTTTTGAAGGTTTTTCATATATTCTAGTTACAAGTCTTTTGTTGGATATGTGGTTTGCAAATCTTAATTGTCTTTTGCAGAGCAGAAGCTTTTAATTTAATTTTCCTGCAGTCCGGTTTATCATTTTTTTCTTTTATGAATAGTACTTACAGTGTCCTGTCTAAGAAATCTTTGCCTAACCCCCAAATCACGGAGATTTGCTTCTGAAAGTTTTACAGCTTTAAGTTGTACTTCTTAGATCTGTGATCCGTTGTGAGTTGATGTTGTGTAAGACGTGGGGTGTCGGCTGAGTTCCTTTTCGTCGTGTGTTGTTGTTAGCTGCTGTCAAGTTGATGCCCACGCGCGGGGACCCCATGCGCGTCAGAGGGTAAGTGCTCTGTGTGGACGTCCAGTTGTTCCATCATCGTTAGTGGGAAAGAGTAATTCTTTCCCAGCGAATTGCCTTTGTTCCTTTGGTAATAATCAGCGGGCCATATTTGCATGGCTTTACGTCTGGGCTCTCTCTGTGCTGTTGCATTGCTCAATGCCAATTCTTTTGTCAGTATTACATGTCTTGTTTTCTGTAGATTCGTAGTAAGTCTTGGAGTGGAAAACTAGAAGTTCTCCAACTTTGCTCTTCCTTTTCAAAATTATTTTAGCTATCGTAGTTCCTTTTCCTTCCCATTTAAATTTTAGAATAAGTTTGTGTGTATCTCCAAAAAATCCCACTGGGATTTTTTTAACACTTTATTGTGTTTTTGGAGAAAATGTACATAGCAAATTAGGTTTCATTGAACAATTTCTATGCATAGTATTCAGTGATGTTGGTTACACTTTTCGCAATGTATCAGCATTCTCATCATTTCCATTCTGGTTGTTCTGTTTCTGTTAATCTAGCTTCCTTGTGCCCCCTTACCTTCTCATCTTTGGTCTAGGGTAAATGTTGACCGTTACGTCTCATTTAGATGATTGTTTAGAGGAGCACAATACTCACAGGTGACATTATTTATTTTATGAGCCACTCTGTCTTATGGCTAATAGGTGACCACTGGGAGCCTGCTGGGATTTTGATTGGAATTACGTTAAATCTGTTGATAAATGTGGGGAGAATGGGCATTTTTCATATGTTGGGTCTTCCAGTCCATGAACACAGTATGCCTCTGTTCGTTTCGGCTTTCTCCAAGGTCTTTTGTCAGTGTCTGGTCGTTTCTGGTATACAGCTCCCATACGTTATTTTAGGTTTATCCTAACATTTATTAGGAGCTATTGTGAATGATACTTTTTAAAAATTTCAGTTTTCAATTGTTCGTTGCTAGTATGTAGAAACAGGTTAATTTCTGTGTGCTGTTCTTATTTCCTGTGACTTTGCTAAACTTACTTATTAGTTTTGGGAGGTTGTTTTGTTTTTAATAGCTCCTTTGGGATTTTCTGTGTAGACAGTCATGTTGTCTGTGAATAGGGACTGTCTTATTTGTTCCTTTTACTTCTTTTTCTTGTCTTAGTGCAGACACTCTTGCCTTGTTCCCAGTCTTAGGGGGAAAGTATTCTGCTCCTACCTTCCAGTAAGAGTTCTTATCATGAATGGATGTTGGGTTTTGTTAAGTGCTTTTTCTGTGTCAGTTGATATGATCACACATTTTTTCTTTGGTTTGTTACTACGGCTGATTTTCGAATGCCGAACCTGCTCTGCGTTACTGAGATAAACCCACTTGGTCATGTTGTGCTGTATAAGTTGCTGCATTAGATTTGCTAATATTCTGTTGAGGATTTTTCTGTTTATGTTCATGTGGGTTACTGGTCTCTGGCTTCCCTTTCTTGTCTTTGTCTGGTTTTGATATCAAGTAATGCTGGCCTCATAGAATGACTCGGGAAATGTTCCTTCCTCTTCTATTTTCTGCTGTAGTGTTTAGAATTGGTGTTATTTCTTCCTTAAATGTTTGGTGGAATTCACCAGTGTAGCCATCTGGGCCTGGAGATTTCTTGTTCAGAAAGTTTTAAACTATGGATTCAATACCTTTAATAGTTTCAGGTTACAGTTACGTTTTAGATTATGTTTCATCCAGGGTGAGTTTTCGTAGTTTGTAGGTTTTGAGGAATTGGTCCATTTGTTGTCAGTTGTTGAATTTATGTGTGTAGAGTTGTTCCTAGTGTTCCCCTAGTCTCCTTTTAATGTCTGCAGGGTCTGTAGTGATAGCCCCTTTTCCTTTCAGATATTAGTAACTTGTGTCTTGTTTTCTTTGTCTCTCTTGCTGGAGGTGTATCAGTTTATCCATCTTTTCAAAGACCTGCTCTGGGTTTCGTTGATTCCCTCCTGCCTCCTGTCTCATTGTCTCTTATTCATCTTTGTCTCTTATGCGTGGTGTGTGTGTGTCCTTCACGGTGGCTGCCCAAGGATGAACCCCCAGTGTGGCTGTGGGGAGGCCCCCTCAAGGTCATCCAGGATTTTGCCTGATGCCTGTTGGGGTAATGCCAACAACCACGACAGACAGGTAGTTGTCGTGGCTGTGACTGGGTTTTCTCTGTGGGAAAGCTCCGTGTGAGGTGCACCTGTGACGTCATGTCATCCTGTGACCCCCACTTTGCAGATGGGGAAACCGACATGTGGAGGGATGGACACCCAGAGAGGCCTGGGTGGGAGGGCAGGTGGCCTGGGCATAGAGGTGAGGGTCATGCTTCCTCCCAGATGGAGCGGGGCCGTTGGGGAGGTGGAGAGGATCCTCTGGGGAGTCCCAGTGCACTGTGAGCACACACTCGATGCTGGGCTGCTGGTGGCATGATTTCAAGGTCCTGTCCTTGCGGGCTCATTCTGGGGGGAAACGGGGGAGGCAGCCGTGGCAGCCAGTGGGCCTGCTGGGAAGCACTGCCAGGTTGTGGATTTGGAGCCCCGGGGGCAGCACAGGTGGCATCTGGGCACAGTGGGGTGGAGGGTGGGATGTCACTGCTCTTAGGGTAGCCCCTGCGTCCCCTGGCTGCTCCCAGGGACCCCCCTGCATCCTTCCTTCCCCCATCACAGCACTGATCATCCCCCTAAGTTTTGGTTACTTCTCTGTTTCCCTAGCACAAGAGTCTCCAGTTGCTTTCGGGTCGACTCCGACTTGTAGCGACCCCACGTGTGCAGAGTAAAATTGTCCATCGGGTTTTCAAGGCTGTGAGCTTTTGGAAGCAGACCACCAGGCCTGTCTCCCGAGGCACCTCTGGGTGGGTTCGAACTGCCAACTTTTTGGCTAGTAGTCAACGCTTAACTGTTTGTGCCACCAGGGGCTCCTGGTCCAAGAGCGAGTTTTCAGAAACCCTTGGCTGCGTTCCCAGCCCTGCAGCCCTGGCCCTCTAGTCCAGCTCATCCCTGAGCAGAACTCTGTCCTGAAAACGGAGCTGCTGCTTTGAGTTGCTGTTTTCTCGGCTTCACAGCCGCTGTCTTGTCTCAGCTCCCCCCCAAGAACGAAGCCTCCACAGGTAGTACAGCCATTTACTGTCAGATACCTGAGTGTCTGGGGACTCTGGACCCCGGATGGCCTGCAGCCTCGACTGTGCACCAGCCCAGGGCAAGAGGCTCAGTCCTCGTGGGTCCCTGGAAAGATGTCCACAGCCCCCTGAGTGCAGCAAGCTGGGCGTAGGAGCGCCAGCATCCTGGGCTGATACACAGACAGGTCACCTCACTGACGGGTGGGGGTGGTGCATGGGGGGGGGTGCCAGGACCAAGTCTTTCCTCTGGGGTGTGTAGGGTGGGAGTGGGTAAGGGGAATGTGTTCTGGGCCCAGAGATTGGCTAGAGCAAGGGGATGGCATGGCTGGCCGGCAACGCTGGAGGCAGAACTATAGAGGCAGGCCCTGGGTGGGGCTCTAAAGAGGGGCTCCTGGGGCCCCGAGGGTGCGGGCACATCCTGAGAGGCTCAGAGACTGCAGGAAAGCAGGGCCCCCAGCAGGGCATCAGGGTCAGCTCTTCATGACAGTGTCCTGGGCAGGGATCCGCACAGAAGGTCTCAGTGACAGCAGCCCCCCCTCAAGTCTCCCTTTGTGGGACGGTGTGGGACTCCTGCCCATCCCTCCCAGCTGCTGCTGCGGTCACCGGGACGTGACAACCAGGGTGACTGACAGCCTCTGTCCAAGCACCGTGGTTCCTCTCTCGGGCCTCCCCCACCGTACTGGGAGAAACCCACCCCACCCGCTCGGCACCATGACTCCCGGGGGGCGGGGGCATTTCCTACAGTTTCCCTAATCAAAACTTTTCATCGCCGCAAAACTCTGTCTGGTAAGTCCAGGTGGCCGTGAGTGTCCATGTTTCCATGGCTCTGTGGTGCGGTGCTTCTGGCGCCCTTTGTGATGTGTGAGCCCCATCCCCGGGGGGTCCATTGATGACAGGATGAGAGAAGCTTGTGCTCCCAGCCTGGGAGCGAGATGCCCCGCAGTGGTGGGAAGCCCCACCCACCCGGCTCCAGCCTGGAGTGGGAGGTTCCAGGCTCGTAAGCCCTCAGAGCCCCCTTAGCCCCGGCAGAAGGTGCCTCCCTCTGGGAGCGTTGGCGGGGCTCTGGGGGGAGGCACTGGCGTGAGGGGCCACTGCTGCGGCCATGGCTGTCACCAAACGTGCTCCCCGTGGCTGGGCTCCTGGATGGGGGTGCAGGCTGCTTCCAGGCTTTCTGCAGTTCGTTCAGTGTTCTACAACAGAGCTTGCTGCTTGCGTGTGGCACACTGATTTTCAGTGACCCCTCCAGCAAGCATGTGTCCTGGCGCTCCTGGGACCCTGGGCATGTGTGGCCGTGTGTCCAGCCTTTGTGGACATGCTGTGGTCCTGGGAGAAGAGCTGCGGCCTAACTCTCCCCCCGACCCTGCCAGCTGTGCCTCGTGCACATGTGTCCTGTAAAGGGAATTGCATGAGAGCAACGAGAACCCCTACTTAAGTAAGAGTAGAATCAATCTAAAACCAAAACCCATTGCTGTCGAGTTGATTTCGACCCCTAGTGACCCTGCAGGGCAAAGTAGAACTGCCCCATAGGGTTTCCAAGGCTGTAATCTTTACAGGAGCAGACTGCCACAGCTTTTCCCCGCGGAGCGGCTGGTATGCTCAAACTGCTGACCTTTCGGTTAGCAGCCGAGCGCTTAACCACTGTGCCACCAGGGCTCCTTAGAATCAATCCAGGGTGGTTGAAATCGTGTCTCCTTGATAGCAGGATCTGCGAGTGGAGGACGGTGCTGTGTGGCGGGTCTCTCCCAGAGCAGTGTGCCCGCCCGTGGCTTGGACCCACCTTTCTGGTCTTTGGGGTGTTGGTATTGATGGTTGTGTCTGCACTGCACAGGCACAGGGCTGGCAACACCTGCCCCTGGCGTTGCTGGGTCAGTCCTTCAGTCCCTTTTGTGTAGGTGCTCTGTCCCTGCCGTCCACAAGGGGGTGGCCTTGGCCTGGCTGCCTGGAGCAAGTGGTCGATGTGGACCCAAAGTCGTGGACCAAGTGTCTGCAGCCGCACGATCCATGTGTTAGTTCCAGCTTGCTTTCTTCTAACTCCTCGTTAGAACAGATAGCCAATGGCGAGGATTTCATAAGTCTGCAGCTTTTGACCGTAGGCAATGCTTCTTTTTTTACCATAAGCTTTCTTCTTTCACACTCAGCCCTCCTTTTAGATACTGAGATTTGTAGTGGCTTCTATCCTATCTATGCCTGCTTTCCAGACTTGCCTATTGGAATCACATCCCTATCGGTGTTGGTGAGTAAAAGAATCTGTTTTGCGCCCCTCCTCTGAGCTGGGTGGGCCCAGCGAGGAACAGGAGTGTCCTTTTTGTTACAGTGGTTAAGTGCTTGGCTGCTAACCAGCAGTTCGAACCCACCAGTCACTCTGGGAGAAAGATGTGACGATCTGTTTCTGCAAAGATTTACAGCCTTGGAAACCCTATAGGGCAGTTCTGCTCTGTCCTGTAGGGTTGCTAGAAGTCAGAATCGACTTGACGGCAACGGGTTTTTGGGTTTGGTTTAGAGCAGAAGTCCCAGCCCTTGAAACCTGCAGAGCAGAGTGCAGTGGCACTTCCTTGGGTTGGTGTTAATGTGATGGGAGTTCCAAACTAGGTGCCCAGCAGGTCCAGTTGGGGTGTGCTGTGGCACCCTGGGGCCTCCCCGGGCTGCCTCTCTCTGCAGTGATGCAACTGTGGATAGAGGGGCTGAGTGCCTCCCATGGTCTGGCTAGCTGCAGTGGCTATGGCACGGCCACACAGAACAGACTCCTGGAGCCCATAGTCAGCAAGCGGGAAGACAGACGGATAAGCAGAGGTTCACAGTGCAGGTGTAACTCCTGCGCAGGGCTGGTGGATCCTGGCTGAGGACGTGGACAGGGCCTTGGGATGGGCACACCTGAGCTGCAGCTGGAAGTAGAATGTACTGTAGCCCTGAGCCGTGTGATGGCAGCTGCTCTGGGTTTAGAGGGCTCTGGGAGCAGGACTAGGAAATGCCAGCAGGCGTGGTCTGCTGCCGCTGGCTCCAGGTCAAAGCCACAACCCCAGTGGCTGGGCATGGGGAGAGGAACTTCCTCCCGTGGATGTTCCCTGGGTCCATGTGAGAGAGGGAGAGGGGGCTTGACTTTCTGGTTCATCCCAGTACGAGTGCTGATGCCTATTCTACTCTCATTCCATAAACACTGGCTACAGTGAAGGGGCTGGGGCTGCTGATCTTCTCTGTAGGCTTTGCCTAACGAGCCTTTTGTGTTTCCAGGGGCTGGCAAAACCCCGACCCTGGGCAGCGGCTTCCATGTGAATCTGGGGAAGGAGTCAAGAGCACAGACCCTGCAGAACGGTACTTCTCTCGAGATGCTGAGGACCATGGGTGGTTTCTGGGAGCTGGAGTTGGTGATGGGGGATGAAGGATAAAAGCCTCCCTTTTCTGAGCTCAGCCCCACCCCAGCACACCTGCCCTCTTTGGTGGACTGCCCCGCTTCACTCGCAGCCCCATTGCCTGGCCAAATCCTCGTCACCCTCCAAGCTTCGGCTCAGGCCACACTTCTATGAGGACATGTTCCTTGAGTCTCCTCCCTCAGGTCATCAGGTGCCCTCTTGGGTGCACCTCAAAGACTCTGTCTACCGGGGTTACTCATAGTGAGGTCTCTGGACCCCTACTGTGCACCCAACTGTTTGTTACAGGTCTGGGTCAAGATAGGTACAGAAAGAACAAATTTATATCTATTTGACATTGCAGCGACATTTTAATTGTATTTTATAAAAGTATTGGTCCACAACAAATTGGAGAAATGTCTGTTCAAATCCTTTGCCCGTTTTTAATTAGGGTTATTTGTCTTCTTCTTGAGTTGTGAGAGTTTTATATATTTTAGATGCAAGTCCCTTACGAGATACATTGTTTGCACAAGTTCTCTCCTCTGCTGTAGGTTGCCTTTTTACTTTCCTGACGGTGCCTTTTGACGTACAAAAGTTTTTAATAGTGTCTAGTTTATCTACTTTTTCTTTTGTTCTTATGCTTTTGTTGTCATATCTAAGAAACTTCTGCTGAATCCAAGGTGATAAAGATTTATACGTGTTTTTTTCTGAGCATTTTATAATCTTATCTCTTACATTTAAGTCTTTGATCCACTTGAAGTTTATTTTTGTATATGGTGTGAGGTAGGGGCCCAATTTCATGCTTTTCCATGTGGATATCCAGTTATCCGAGCACTATTTGTTGAAAAGACTCCTCTTTCTCCATCTAATTGTGTTGTCATCTTTTTTAAAAATAATTGACCATAAGTGTGAAGGTTTATTTCTAGATTCTCGGTTCTAGTCCATTGATCTATATGTCTGTCCTTATGCCAGTTCTCTCTGTCTTGATTACTGAAGCTTTTGTAGTCAGTTTTGGAACCAAGAAGTATGAATCCTCTAACCCTGTTCTTCTTTTTCAAGATTATTTTGACTGTTCTAGTCCCTTGAATTTCCATATGAATTTTTGGATCAGCTGGTCAGTTTTTGCAAAGAAGTCAGCTGAGATTTTGATAGGAATTGCATCAAATCGGTAGATCAGTTTGGGAAGAATTGTCATCTTAACAATGTTAAGTCTTCAGATCCATGAACATGGAACGTCTTTCCATTTATTTAGGTCTTCTTTAATTTCTTTTAACAATATTTTGTAGTTTTCAGAGGATAACTTTTGTTTCTGTTGAGAAAATTTCTTGGAATTTTTTTTTTATTTAAATTTTTTTTAAAAATTGTACTTTAGGTGCAGGTTTACAGAACATCAGAGTATAACTTTTCATATATATATATATTTTTGATGCTTTTGTAAATGGAATTGTTTTCTTAATTTCCTTTTCTGATTGTTCACTGCTAGTGTATAGAAATACAATTGCCTTTTTTTATTGATTTTAAATCCTGCAACATTGCTGAACTCATTTATTAGTCATAATAGTTTTTTAGTGGATTCTTTAGGATTTTCTGTAGACAAGATTGTTTCATCTACATAGATATAGTTTTACTTTCATTTCCACCCTGGATTCCTGTTGTTTCCAGAGGCCCCAAGACCACCCCTAAGATTAATGATTCACTAGGAGGACTCAGGACTCAGCATACAGTCATTTTCAAAGCTAACGATTTACTACAATGAAAGGATACAGAGCAAGATTAGCAAAGGGAAAAGGTGTGTGGAGCGAAGTCCAGAGGAACCAGGCACGAGCTTCTAAGGGTCCTCTCCCAGTGGAGTCACACAGGACATGCTTACCTCCCCCAGCAACAAGTTGTGACAACACGTGAAATGTTGGCAACCAGGGAAGCTCATTAGAGACACAGCGCCTAGGGCTTTTATTAGGGGCTAGTCACGTAGGCGACTTCTACCTGGCGCATACAAATTCCTGACTCCCAGAAAGCAGGTGCTCCGCATAAACCACGTTTTAAAACCACTGTTTTTATACAAACAGTTTAGGCACAGTGTGCCACTCCTACCAGTTCTGGGAATGGAGGAAACCCAGGTTCCCAGGTGCCAGCCAAAGGTCAGCTGCGTAATCAGGTCTTTCTAAGGATAGCAGTCAAGACTTAGATTAACTCGTTTCTATACACCTTTTATTTTATTTTCCTGTGTAATTGCCCTGGCTAGAACCTCTCCAGTACAATGAGGAATAGAAGTGGGGAGAGTGGTCATCGTTGTCTTGTTCCTGATCTTAGGGAAAAGTTCAGTCTTTCACCATTAAGTATGATGTCAGCTGTGAGTTTTTTATAGATGCCCTTTATCATGTTGAGTATGCTCCCTTCTCTTTCCAGTTTGTTGAGTATTTTTATCATGTTCAATTTTGTCAAATACCTTTTGTGCATCTATAGAGATGATCATGTGGTTTTTGTTACTTATTCTGTTGATACTATGTGTTACATTAATTGAATGAAACCAAATTTAGTTATGATGTATAATCCTTTTTATATATTGCTATATTCACCTTCCTAGAATTTTGTTGAGCATTTTTTAATGTCTGTATTCATAAGAGATATTGGTTTGTCGTATTCTTTCTTGTAATGTTTATGTCTGGTTTTAGTATCAGGTTAATACTAGACTCATAGAATGAGTTAGGAATTATACGGTCTCTGTGAGATGACGGAAAAGCTCAATATCATCAGTCAGAACAAGACCAGAAAATGACTGTTGAATAGACCATCAATTGCTGGTATGCAAGTTCAGGTTGAAGCTGAAGAAAATTAGAACAAGTCCATGAGAGCCAAAGTACAACCTTGAGTATATCCCACTTGAATTTACAGACCATCTCAAGAATAGATTTGATACGTTGAACCCTAATGACCAAAGACCAGACAAGTTGTACAAGGACATCATACACGAAGAAAGCAAGGGGTCATTAAAAAGACAGGAAAGAAAGAAAAGACCAAAATGGATGTCAGAAGACTCTGAAATTTGCTCTTGAATGTAGATTAGCTAAAGCAGATGAAAGAAATGATGAAGCAAAAGAGCTGAACAGAAGATTTCAAAGGCAACTCGAGAAGACAAAGTAAAGTATTATAATGACATGCAAAGACCTGGAGATAGAAAACCAAAAGGGAAGAACATGCTTGGCATTTGTCAAGGTGAAAGAACTGAAAAAAATTCAAGCCTCAAGTTGCAATATTGAAAGATTCTGTGGGCAAAACGGAGCCTTGGTGGTGCAGTGGTTAAGAGCTTGGCTGCTAACCAAAAGGTCGGCAGTTCAAATCCACCAGCCACTCCTTGGAAACCCTATAAGGCAGTTCTACTCTGTCCTATAGGGTTGCTATGGTTTGAAATTGACTTGATGGCAATGGGTTTGGTTTGGTTTTGGTGTTGGTAAAGTATCAAACGACACAGGAAACACCAAAGAAGATGGAGGGAACACAGAGTCACTGTACCAAAAAGAAAAGGTCGACGTTCAACCATTTCAGGAGATCACATATGATCAAGAACCAATGGTACTGAAGGAAGAGGTCCAAGCTGCACTGAAGGCATTGGTAAACAACAAGGCTCCAGGAATTGACGGAATACCCATTAAGATGTTTCAACAAACGGGTGCAGCGCTGGAAGTGCTCACTCATCTATGCCAAGAAATTTAGAAGACATCTACCTTGCCAACCAACTGGAAGAAATCCATATTTATACCCATTCCAAAGAAAGGTGATCCAACAGAATGTGGAAATTATCAAACAATATCATTAATATCACACACAAGTAAAATTTTGCTGAAGTTCATTCAAAATCAGTTGCAGCAGTATTATTGACAGGGAGCTGCCAGAAATCCAAGCCAGATTCAGGAAAGGGTGGGAAACAAAGTACGGGATATCTTTGCTGATGTCAGGTGGATCATGGCTGAAAGCAGAGAATACCAGAAAGATGTTTACCTGTGTTTTATTGACTATGCAAAGGAATCTGACTGTGTGGATCATAACAAATTATGGCTAACTGCTGTGCAATTGATCACTTTTTGTGTGGGCTTTCTAGCAATGGTCTTGGAACTCCCACCCAGGTGATTGGGCAGTAGGGTAATTGTGGCCCACCAAGGGGATTGGTCAGTTTTACCTGAAAAGAGAGCCAATTTCAAAGCAGAGAGGAGGATCTTACCACCACTAAGGAAGAACAGCTAGGAGCCGAGGGCGCATCCTTTGGACCTGGGATCCCTGTGCTGAGAAGCTCCTGGAAGGAGGAGACTAAGAAGGAGGGAGAACAAGCTGTAATCCTGAAGATAGTGAGAAGCGGTGACAGGAGAGACCTGGCTGCAGGAGATGGTGCTGTGGGCTTCCTGGCCCTTAGGGAGAGAAAGCTAAGTGCGTTTGGGCAGAGGCCGAAGGCCAGGAAGAGGTATGCCTGTGAGCACAGCTGGGGAAAGGCAGTCCTCATGGAAGAACTGTGTCCTGAGTGTTCCTGAGCCTGAATTCTAACTGTTACTTCCCTAATAAATCCCATAATTGTGAGTATGGTCTGCAAGTTCTGTGTGGCTGTTGGCAATGAATTATTGAACCTAGTAGACAGTGCTGCGGGAGGGATGGTTGGTGTCAGAATTGGTAAAGATGGCGGAGAGAGGAGGTGTATATGACCTTCACCTCATAGGAATCAGCCTTGGGCTGTTGATCTTGATTTTCCTCCCCCTTGTGAAGTTGGAGGAGGTCAGACATCACCCCCAAGCCATTTTTACACTAACACTGTGAAGAATGGGAATTCCGGAACACTTAATTGTGCTCATGAGAAACCTGTACTTAGACTAAGAGACAGTCTTTCAAACAGAACTAGGGGACACTGCGTGGTGTAAAGTCCATAAAGGTGTGCGTCAGGGTTGTATCCTTTCACCATACCTATTCGGTCTGTATGCTGAGCAAATAATCTGACAAGCTGGACTATATGAAGAACAGAGCATCAGGATTGGAGGAAGACTCTTAACAACCTGTGTTACGCAGATCTCACAACCTTGCTTGCTGAAAATGAAGGGGACTTGAAGCATTTATGGATGAAGATCAAAGACTACAGTCTTCAGTATGTATCACACCTCAACATAAAGAAAACAAAAATCCTCGCAACTGGACCAATAAAGCAACGTCATGATAAACGGAGAAAACATTAAAGTTGTAAAGGATTTTCTTTTACTTGGATCCACAATCAATGCCCACGGAAGCAGCAGTCAGGAAATCTGAGGATACATTACATTGGGCAAATCTGCTGCAAAAGACCTCTTTAAAGTGTTAAAAAAAGTAAAGATGTCCCTTTAAGGACTATATGCTTGTGAAAGCTGGACAATGAATAAGGAAGACCAAAGAAGAATTGATGCCTTTGAATTATGGTGTTGTCAAAGAATATTGAGTATACCACAGACTGCCAGAAGAACGAACAATCTGTCTTGGAAGAAGCCAATTGCTCCTTAGAAGCGAGGATGGTGAGCCTTTGTCTCACATACTTTGGACATGTTATCAGGAGGGACCAGTCCCTGGAGAAGGACATCATGCTTGGTAAAGTAGAGGGTCAGCAAAAAAGAGGAAGA